TAGGATTAGGGTGGGGCGATAGTTTTGGTTCAGTACTGTCAAATCCATAGACGTTCAGGCTGATCCTGGCCTCTGGTCATGGGGTTGGGGCTTGAGCCGTTCAGCCCACAATACTTTCTGTGTCTTAGGCTGGCCTGACCTCAGTTTCCTGTTGTTGGATGTCTCCCGCAGTTGTCCCTCACTCTGTCACTATGGTATTTTAACACTGGAAGCCCTGAAATGAAGCCAACCCATGGCTGCTTATGTAGTGGGCTCAGTTGGCCCTTCTCTAAAAAGGTACCAGGTACCTTTTCAGGAGACACAGTAATCATTTGGGCTAGAGGCACACATTGCTGTTGTAGGGGACAGTATCCATTGTTATATTCCTCTGGTGTGTTTCTCTCTGGAGGCCTCTGGAGTCACCTGCCCTCACTGTGGCTCTGTAGATTTGATCTTCCTTTCTCACGTCATGAGCTGGGAGCTGGGGAGAAAGTGCAGATTGCCCTCTCAATTTTCTGTGTTGAGGGCTGTCTTCTCACTTTCTCTAGACTTCAGTTTTCCCTTCAGATTCTTCCTAGATTTCAGGGATCCACTTCCTTCTTTTCCCCAAGTTGTTATTTTTTACTGCTCCATGATCTTCCTGGAACTCTCAAACCAATTCTTTTTTAAAAAAATTTGTGTATATATTTATTGGCACATTTTAGGTATAAAATACATTTACATTTATCATTGGGTGTTTGTACCAGAACATGATGTATCTTAGTTCTTATTTTTTCTCCCATTACCTGTGCACCCTTCCCTATTTACAGAGTTTGATTCCATTTTTTCTTCTTTCTCATAATTTTTCCTTTCCCTTCTTCCTTTCCCCTTCCCCTCCCACCACCCCTACACCTTTGGAACTTTTAATATTTCAAATTATCAATTGTTCGTCTTAATCATTTTAATCCTTATTTACACTTTCAGTTTCTCACTCTAGAGAAACTGTTTGGTATTTACACGTGTGTGTCCTATTTCACTTAAGAGTATGACCTCAATATGCATCCATTTAGCTATAAATGTCTCTAGTTTCTCACTCTTTATGGCTGAGTAGTACTCCATTTTATAAAAAAACCACATCTTCTTTATCCAGTTTCCAGCTGATGGGCACTTGGGCTGTTTCCAAGCTTTAGCTATTACAAACTGTGCAGCTATAAATTCTTTTAATTCTTTGGGGAAGATTCCCAGTAGGGGAATAGCTGGGTCAAATGGGACCTCTAGTTCTAGTTCTTTGAGGTGTCTCCATACTGATTTCCACAGTGGTTGCACCAATCTACATTCCCACCAACAATGGAGAAGGGTTCCTTTCTCTCCACCCCCCCGCCAGCATTTGTTATTTGTTGATTTCTTGTTACCAGCCATTCTTTGTGGGGTGAGGTGGAATCTCAGTGTTGTTTTCATCTGCATCTCTTGAATGACCAGTGATGTTGAACATTTTTTCATATATTTATTTGCTGTTTTTACTTCTTTGTCTGAGAAATGTCTGTTCATTTCGGATGCCCATTTTTGAATTGGGTCTTTGAATTTGGGGGTCTGATTTTTTTCAGTTCTTTATATATTCTTGATAGTAGACCTTTGTCTGAGGTACAGCTGCTAAAAACTTCTTCCCACATTGTAGGTTGTCTCTTAGCTCTGTTGGTGGTTTCTCTTGCAGTGCAGAAGGTTTTTAATAAGATGAGATCCCAGTTGTTGATTCTTTGTGCTAGCTCCTGTGGTACTGAAGATTTGTTCATAAAGCCTTTTCCTATGCCAGTGTCTTCAAGAGTTCTACCTAACTTATCTTGCACCAAGTTTAGTGTTTCTGGCTTAATATTTAGATCTTTAATCCACTTTGATCTTAGTTTAGTGCACAGTGATAGGTATGAGTCTAGTTTTAATTTTTGGCAAGTTGAGATCCACTTTTTCCAGCACCATTTATTAAATAGGCTATCTTTCCTCCAATGAGGGTGGTTGCCTCCTTTGTCAAAGATGAGGTGGCTGAGTATGTCTGGAGTTGTTTCTGCCTCTTGTAATCTATTTTACTGGTCTTCGGGTCTGTTTCTTTGCCAGTACCATGCTGTTTTTATCACAGTAGCTTTGTAGTATAGTTTCAAGTTGGGGATTGTGATACCCTCAGCCATGTCTCTGTTGCCTAGAATTGCTTTTGCTATTCTAGGTTTCTTCTGCTTCCAAGTGAATTTTTGGATTGTCAAGCCAATTCTTATGAAAAATTTTATTTAAATGTTTATAATAATGAAAGTGATGATAATTGAGGTTGCACCCACTCTTGACTGAGGGGTGTGTACTGTGTTTAATGTATATCTCATTTAATCCTTAGAACAATCCAGGTGTTACTGAGATTAAGAGAAACATGATGACTTTTTTCCTGAGTCACTTAACTGTTAGCAGCATATGAATTCATCCCCTTCTATAGCCTCAGGGGTCAAAGGAGTGGGATGGAAAAAAAAGAAAGATATCATGTATAATTCCCTGTGATGAATGTTTCCATTATGTATATCTAAAATGTACCAGTAAATGTTTTGTTTAAAAAAAAAGTAGAATTCTGGTTTGTTAATCAAAAGAAAAAAGGGAAATGCCAAACTATTGAGTAGAGATCTCAAAGTTTTGGAAAGCAGTATACTCATCCAAAAAAGTGAATCAGTAAAATAATAAATATGTAAATTATAAATGAGAGAACTGAAATAAGAATTAAGGGATGATATTTTTGGAGCTGGACATGGTGGCATATGTCTGTAATCCCAGCACTTGGGAGGCTGAGACAGCCTTACATTGCAAAACCCTATCCCAAAACCCCCCCCCCCAAAAAAAGAAGATAGATGATGTTTTTAACCTGAAAGCCATACAAATGATATATTTAAGGGAACAATGAAAATTAGAAATTAAATAAATATATCAACTAAAATGAAAATAATTAGACTTTTGATGAATAGTTATTAAGATGATAAATTTGACACTCAAGTATTGATTTTCTTGGGCTAGGAGTGTGCTCAGTGGTAGCTTGCATGCTTAATATATGTGAGGCATTAGGTTCAATTCCCAGTATCTCTTCCCCATGATATTCTTCAAAAACATATGAAAATTGATTCAAGAAATTGTGAACATAAATTACAAACTTATTAAAAAAATCTATAAAGTTACAACAAATTTTCCCACCTAATTTTTTTATACTTAAAAAATAATTCTTATCATGTATAAATGGGCTCAATAAACAACACAAAAGATGTCTAGCTATCAGATTGTTTTTCAGTATGGATTGAGTATTAATCCTAAATCTGGCAAAAATCTTAAATTCTATCTGAATAAGTTAGCATGTTGAAAGATTTACTTATGACAATTGTTTTCCTCTTGAGGATTCTACAAATGTCAAATATAAAGAAAATAATAAGAATTTAACAGGAAATATATAGGTTAAATGGATAGCCAACATAATCTGACATGAAGATTAATAGGAAAAATGGCAGTACTTTCCAAATTCATATATTTAACATAATTGCTGATAATATATCAGTGTAAGACTTTGTGGAATCTATATAAATTAAAAAGTGTATTATGACTAAAGGCAGGAGGAAACATATTTAAAATTACTGCACATCATTTCTCAAACATTCCAAGAGGTTTCAAGTTAAAAAATGTAACCCACTAACTAAAACTACAACAACTAAAAAAGGCAGAGTACGTTTTTAAACTAATGAAACAATAGAAAAAAAACAAGCCAGGTAAGTATGTTTATATAAGAATTTGTATTTATAGCAAACAAAATATAAGAAAGTAAGAAGGAAAGCACTAGAATAGAGAAATATTTGAGATAGTTGAAAGTTTAATATTAGTGTGTATATATGGACATAGTTCTAAGATTGTGCTCAAGAGAATTTTAGGTCAGACTGATGGTTCACACCAGAGGAAACAAAATAACAAAATATTGAATTATTTAATACACTGATAATTTGAAATATAATATTAATGGTATGATATAAATATCCAGTAAGTGAACAAAATGAAAAGTGATCCTGGCAAGGTTATAGAAAAATTAATATATTATTGTAATTTTACTTATTGTGGTAATATTTGACCACTAGTAACAGGAATCATTAAAATTGTTAGGCTCATCCAATAATCTCCCTTTTGGAAATTTACCTTAGGGAAAGAAGTGAAAGGATGTTGATCTTTTAAAACAACATATTTACAATTTATATATTTACTTATTTATTTTTTGAGACAGGGTTTCACTGTGTAGCCCAGGCTGGCTTTGAAGTCACTGCAATCTCCTGCCTCAGCTTCCTGAGTGTTGGGATTACAGGTGTGGGCCAACATGCCTGGCTATATTTACATATTTACAAAAACAGCAAAGAGCACTGAAAGTAGCCTAAGTACCCACAATTACAGTAGTTGATGAAATATAATGAATATTGTTAAATATGCAAATTAACAAGTCAACTGGAAATTTACTTGCAAAATAAGTAAAACAATAAGGTGCAAGATTTAATATAAGCTATATCAATTAGTTTGAAAAGTTTACTGGTAAATAAAAAATTAATCAATTCCATAGTGGCCTGTCATTGTTTTAATATAAACTCATAGGTACATTTTATCTGAGTTACTGAAATTTTCAAGGTTTTTATGAGTATAAGAAAACAGTCCCATCAAGATCTTCAGTTGAGTATTCATGTCGAGAGTTTCTTTTTTTGTTAGCTTTTTGAGACAAGGTCTTGCCCTGTAGTTAAGGCTAGCCTTGAACTCACCAGGTAGCCCAGAGTGGCCTCGAACTCACAGTGATCATTTTGGATTATAGGCAAGCCGCCAGCATGCCTGCCGGTACAGCTGATAGACTTTCAAAAGCCCCTAACAGGGCTGGACTGTAGTTCATTGGTAGGGTGCTTGCCTTTCATGCTCAAGGCCCTGGATTTGAGTCTCAGCACAGCCAAAGAAACCAAAAAGCCAAAGTTTAAAAACTCTAAAAGTTTTCCTGTTGTGTTTTTGTTTTCTAGTGCTTGTTCCAGTTTCTGGTAAATATTTCTCATGGTAGAAAACCTGGGAAGCCAGCCTTTGCATCTGTCTCTGTCAGCACCCAGCACGGCTCCATTCTGCAAATTAATAATACATTGGAAGAGAGGGAAGTTTGTAGGTTTGTACCTGCTATTGTTAATGTAACTGGAGATGGCATTTTCTCTCTGGTTTTCTGTATGATTTTATTTTCCCTGTCTTTAAAATACCTTTCTTTCTTCCTTTCTTTCCTCCCCTCTTCTTCCCCCCTCCTTTTCTTCCTTTCCTTCTTTTCCTCTCTCTCCCCTGTCCTTTCCCTCCCTTCTCTTTCCCTCTCCGCTTCTTTGAGACAGGGTCTGTATAGACCAGGCTGGCCTCAAAGTCACAATCCTCCTACCTTAGTCGCCATGCATGGCTAAACTATTTTTCTTTATTTTCCTGATCTGCACTCAGGTATGCATATCAGTCTGCCTTCATGATATTAGTAAAGTCCAACTCTTTATATCGTAATCTAACCATTTGTCTTAATTTTACCTAATCTCTATAGGTTGGAATATAAATTCGGAGAATTTGGAAACTATTCTCTCTTGGTAAAGCACACCCACAATGGAATCAATGAAATTGCCTGTGACCTGGTTGTTAATAAGAATCCAGTTGATAGTAACCTTCGTATGTACATGTTCTTTATTGACTTTTAAAATTTGTATTTTCAAAGATTTCAGGTTTTGACTACTGTTTGTAAAGTGAAGCAGTCCATGGTACTTTTTATAATTAAAAAGCTAGATTATAGATTATGTATACTATTTAGTCATGGTATACTTATCATATATACATTTTTTGGTGCTGGGGATCAAACCTGGCTGTACCCATTATACAGTGTTTTCATTGTGTCAGTGATGTATGTAAAGTAAAATATGTCAAAAAATTATATGATATAAATATATTCTAATATTGTTATTAAGTTTTATTATAAAGCATAAATAAACAAGTTAAAGCAGTGGAAAGAAATTAGAAATAGGGCAGTTGACTTTCCTTGTGTGAGAATTTAGGATGTAGTGTCTCCTGTGTCTCACATGGACAGCCAGCTCAGAAGGATTCTCCACTGTCTGATAACTCTGCTGAAGAAAATCTGTCACTCTGAGCCCCATTGGATAGTACTGTGAGTGTGGCTTTGCAGGGGGCAGCAATGAATCCCTGTGGCATGAGTAAGACTGTTTATAGAGCGTTATTAGAGTCTGAAGTTACTGTAAGAGAATGTAGGAGTCAGTATGAAGGAGCCAATATGGGATAGTTTAAGCATTAAAAAGAATAATATAATTGATGAAAAATATGAATATATAAAAGCCACGGGGTCATTATAAAATTAAAAAGAGTGAAACCATTCTCTACAAGTAAAAAACAAAAAAGCAATATTTGGGTTACCTTTGGGAATAATGAGCAGTTGATGTTTGTGGTGATTTATAATTGTTAGTTGTAAGGAAAGTTAAAGATTTATTCTGCTTCTCCTGTCTTAATGTAATTCAAGGTAACCAAATAGTCCTAGTTGATGAGGGTGAACTCTTTAGAGAATTCCAGCCCAATGTGGCAGAATGCCAGGATGTTTTGCGACAACACCAACACCAATCAGCTGGAAGGGGAACTTTACATTGAAGGGGTCCAGGTTTCAGCAGCTCCACACTGGCACCTCCTTAGTGTTAGTGAGGGAATTATTGTCTATTCTGCATGATATTGTGATTAAATGAAAAAGGCCTATTTTAAAGAAGTTTCTGATTGTGAAATAGCTTTAGAGTTACAGAATGTTTCGAGTAAAGGGTTCCTAAATACACTTTGCCTTGCTTCCTTATGCCCTTAACTGTATAATGAGAGTACAATTACCCCCATACACTGTTACTGAAACCAGGAACTTCACATTCACACAGTACTGGTCTATAAACTTATTTAAGTTTCTTTAATTGTTCATTTTAGTCTCCTTTTTCTAGTCTAGAGTTCACTCAAGGATGTCACGTCACATTTAGTTTTCAGATATCCTTCATCTCCTCCAGCCTAGGACATTTCCTCAGACTTTCTTTGTCTTTCATGATTGTGCAGGTTTTTTTTTTTTTAGTAGTTTCGAAGGCTAGTTATTTTGTAGAGGTTTGGCATTGTTGGGTGGAATACTACCAGAGGTATATTGCGTCCTTTTCAGTGCACTATGTTGGGAGGTACAGGAAGTTAGTATGCCTTTTATATTACAAGGTCCATGTACATTAGAGGTGCTTATGGAAGAATGTGAGGCATGAAGCGATATGATGTCTAAGATCTGTTTTAAAAAACAGTCAAACGAGAGGAGAGTTAGTAATGAAACAAGTGATACATTTGTTTTTCTTTTTTGTGGTGCTGGGGTTAAAACTCGGGGCTTTGTTCATGCTAGGCAAGTGCTCTGCCACTGGACCATACCCCAGCCCCAAGAATGGCAATATCTTGATAATTGTAGAATCTGAATGATGGGTTCATCTGGGTTTATTATACAACTCTCTGTACTTTTGTGTATTTTTGCTATTTTTCATAATAAAAATTAATACTCTTCATGAAATATTTTAAATTACTTACAGGTAATTTAACATAAAGAATATAGGCTTTTGGGCCAGGGATTTAGCTCAGTGGTGTTGCCGCCTGCCCCACAAGTGCAAAGACCTGAGTTCGATCCCGGGTACCAAAAGAAAAAAAAGCAAAAAGAATATAGACTTTTCATTTTTCATTGGTGGATTAAATGTAATGCATTGATAACATTGATGCTTATGATGACATATTTGGTGATAATGCTCTTTTCTTTCTGTAGCTGTGAGTGTTGCATTTCTTGTTGGTCTAGTGCTCATCATCGCAATATCCTTCCTAAGGTTCTTGTTGAGGTAAGGTGCTGGGGAGGACACAACTGGAGAAAGTAGAGCACAGAGATTATACATTCAAAAAGGACAATTTGCCCCCTCAAATGATTATTATTCTGTCCAGATGGTATCACCCAAATCAAAAAAGACCATTATTCATTGATTAACCTGTGTACATCCATGATGTTTATTCTAGTCCCAGGTTTTAGAGAATTACTGTTGACTAAGACATGGTCTCTGAATATAGGAAAAAGATAAAGTTTTAGTGGATCTTTGCCTTTTCCTCACATGACTGAAAATTAAAGTGCTTGAGAAAGAATTACTTCCTAAAGAACCTCTCGTTCTCCTATTTGGTGAGTGAAAGTGGCTTATAATCTCCTTCTCGTCTCTGAGGCTACCCCTTAGTCTAGCTTTCTTGTTCCCTGCCAGCACTGGAGTCCGGTAGCAGAGGCAGAAGATGAAGGGCCGGCCCTCATGTCTACAGCATTGATTCCTTTCCTTTGGACAGAGTGAGGCAGTTTGCAAAGGGAATTTGCTCTTTCTCTGCCTGGTTAATAGTCATTCTGGTCAGTCAGTCTTGGTTTAGTCAATGTACAGAGGGAAGTTCTTTCATGCTTTAAAAAGAATGAGATTGGAGTTAGTTTTTGTGTTTTCATCCTGGTAAAGTCTCAGGAAGGACCACGAGGTTTTATTGGTGAGCTGTATCCATATTGGAAGAACTGTACTCGTTTCAGCACATATACACATTGGAAGAACTAACACCTAACCTTTAAGTAGGCTACCTTGAAACTTTGGGGAGTTTATGCATTCTGACTGGCTTTATACATCTTAGAAGTAGTGCAATTCTACGTGTGAGAAACTTGACTGTATATAAGGGTAAAAGAATTACTTGGCATAACCTAACTCTCTTTTAGGGACATAGTAGAATTTTAGCAGAGGAATTCTGTCTCTTTGGATTAAGGCATTATTATCTTGTCAGTCTTTTTTTTTTTTTTTTTTTTTGGTACCGGGGATTGAACTCCAGTCCTTGAGCTTGCGCAGCAGGTGGCGAAACCACTGAGCTAAATCCCTGGCCCTCTTGTCAGTCTTTTGATAAGATTAAATAGTATTCCAGCCCAGTGTATTAATGCTTTCATTTGGTGTTCATATGAATAGATCTGTTCCATCATTTTTTAAAGTAATTGACAACTGTGACCACATACTTGCAAAGAGAAGAAATTCCATCTTAGCACTGCTGTGGAATTGAGTTCCTCTTTGCATATGATTCTGCCTTTCCTTCCTGGGGGCTGAATGTTATATTGTCAGAAGAGCTACAGTCCCTCCTTCCTTGCTCATAGCTTCCTGACATACCTGTGGATGTCCAGGGAAGTCCTGTTGGTCTGAACCAGAAAAAGCAGAAAAAAAATAAAGAATCTCCCTTCCTTTTACTTGAGAACAAACATGTACAAGAGAATTTAGTGGGGCTTTTGCTTTGTTTTTTAATATTTTAACTTCTCCTTTTTGTTCTTATGTATGTCTATTTTAACCTTTTGCATGGGATGCTGCTGTTAGCAGTGCTAAGTAGAAATGGGAATTGTGTTGTAGGGGAAAAGAAATTACAAATATATGCATTGAATGGATTGTGTTTGAATATTGGTTTTGAACAATTGAACTGTGAAAAAAAAACTCCGTGAGACAAGGAAACTGAACTGGCTATATGATATTAAGGAATTATCGCTAACATTTTAAAATGTGATCATGATTATCATAATTATGTTTGGAAATAAAAATAGTCCTTTTAGAGATACATAATATTGAATAGTATCTCTAAAAGATGAAATGATATGATATGGGATTTTCTATAAAATAATCTGGCCAATGTAGTGTGGGAATACAGGTTACATAAGATTGGCTATGGATGTTTATTTGTTGAAGCTGAGTGATGGTGGTTCATTGTACCAGTTTCTCTATCTATATCTGTGCTTGAAAGGGGGCACGGATTCTATGCATTGGATAATTCAGATGTGACAAAGTTAATGCAAAATATGTTGACTTTTGCCAGGCTAAGGTATACTTTTTGAAAGATTTTCCCCCAAGTTAGAAATCTCATTTTAAAGAATAATCAATTAATATATTTACCTTTTATTAATCATGTACAGTAAGTCCCAGACTTACAAACAAGTTCCATACTGGAGAACATTTGTTCATAAGTTGGACAAAGTGAGTCTTACATGGTACTGCTGTGAAGTTCTCAACTCAAATGTTCCTAAGTCAGGGATGTACTGTAAATCAATTTAATGTTATTTAATGGGTTTTCAAAAATTAAATCACATGAAAAACCCAGTCATGAATTATTATAGTTACCGCAAAGTTATACTTTCTCAGTGTGCATACATTCATTTTTATTTTGTGGCAGTCAAACACAGATGTAGGATTTTGTCTTTTTTTTTTTTTTTGACAGTACTGAGTATTGAACTCAGGTCCTCAGCGTTCTAGGCAAGTGATCCCTAACCCTTTGCATTTTATTTTGAGACAGGATCTCACTAAGTTTCCAAGGCTGGCCTCAGACTTCTGATGCTCCTGCTTTAGCTTCTTGCCCAATTAACTCGTTTTTGTTTTTTTGTGTGGACCAAGCCTGATTTTTTTGGCAATACTGGGGAATGAACTTGGCCTTTACATTGAGCTATGTCCTCAGCCTTTTACTCTTTTTTTTTGTTCTTGATACAGGATCACAGTAAGTTGCCCAGACTGAGGTCAAACTTGGCAATCCTCCTGCCACAGCCTCTCTGACTTCTGAGATTACAGATGCATTCCACTACAACTGGCTCAAAGTCCACATTCTTATTATTTTTGTAGCATGTGACACAACTGTCATATCCTGTCTTGAGTCATTCCTACATTGAGTGAATTTGGTTATTGCCAATTTTTTAAAAGTTTTAATAGTAATATTAATAAGAAACCTGGCTACAGAGAACAGTTATTTAACATTCACAAACTTTTTATTAAAGCTCTATTATCATTCTTGTTTGTTGATGAAGAAGTATGCATTAAGGGTTGAACATGTACAAGTATGGCTGCTATAAACATTGATTTCTATTTTTGTTAAAACTTGTTCAGGATGTCTAGTTCCTTAAGTACTATAGACTATGAACCTGAAATTAATTTTATTTCAGTATCCAATCATTTTGAAAATTCTGCCAAAGAAAATAAGTTAACTGAGGTTTTTTTTTACAGTTTGGAAGATTTTAAGTATTGGGTTTCTAAGGCAATAAATTCTCAAGAAACTGATCATCTCATCAATTCTGTGAGTTGTTAGATTGAATCATGTATTGTTTGGGTGGTTTTCTAAATTTGGAATTTATAATTTTCTATTTAGAATTATTGTCCAGCTTAATAAATTTTTTTCCAAACACCATTAAACATTAATATTTATATTGTGTAAGATCAAGTCACAAGTCCTGATCTTGTGTATGTGCATGTGTGTGTGTGTGGTGCTAGGGATCAAACTCAGGGCCTAACATGTGTTAGGCATTATACCACTGAGCTGTGCTCCAGGTCTTGTCCTCAGTGTCTATGAATGGTCCACCCCTTTCTTTTCTTTAATGAGGTTGGAAGTCTGCACTACATTACGATGTAAGATATGGAGACATTTTTCACCATGTAAGCAGCATTGTTGATTTGATCTAGTTTAGTAGAGAGCTCAAGATTAACACAAAAGAATATTAACTGTGTAAGTGCTTATAGCCTGCTATAATGATTAAATATGTTAAACATGTGCTGACACACTGTGGGCATATTTGTTTCTGTGCTTATACTGGGTATGCTTAATGAAACAGAGTGTCCTTTAGCTCAGCAAAATGCACAAAAACAAAAAATTTAGAAACCAAACCTCTAGGTGGGATCTTTACAAAAGTAAATGAAAGCATAGTTCACTCTAATTTCTCTCCATTCTAATTTCTTCCCTACAATATCAGATAATAAGATTTATAGTTGGGTTTGGTGGCCCATATCTGTAATCCTAGCACTATAGAAGGCTGAGGCAGAAGGATTGCAAGTTTGAGCCCAGTCTGGGCAACTTAGAGACTTAGTGAGAGCCTGTCTCCAGAAATTTTTTTTAAAAAAGGGCTGGCAGTATAGTTTAGCACAGAGATCTTGGATTCAATCTCCAGTACCATAAAAAGAAATAAAACTAAATTTATTTCCCAGCATTATTAATTCTTGTCTCTTCTTTTTGTCTAAAGGACCTGGGATCCCCCAGTGGGGCAGACCCACTCACTGGTGATCCTCAACCAGAAGCACAGTGTGCATCTGCCTCAGGCCACCGCCTCCGCTGCCTGGACACGTTCAGGGGGTAAGTGGGTTCCCTGTAACAGTGGGCCCAGGTCCTCCTTGGATTTCATAATTACATATAAGCACACTTTAAGGTGCTTTACATATCTTTTACTTTCTAGGCTAGGAAGGGCTTCTTGAAGGATTTAAAAATAAAAGTCAGTTGTAGCTCCTTACTTGAAAATTGTCATAAGGGGCTAGAATGTAGCTCCGTGGTAGAGTGCTTGCCTAACATGCACAAGGCCCTAAGCTCAATCTCTAGCATCACCAAAACTAACAAAAAAATGAAAACAAAACAAAAAGTAAAAACAAAACTTGTCATTATGTTCAATATTACAAGTTGATAGAGTGGAGTGGTTAGGACAAGGCCAGAACCAGCTTCTACTGGTATGTATAATCTGTTTAGTTAAGGTTTATGTTTGAGCTATGTTTGTGGCTGTAAAGCATACCACTGTGTCTATAGTTTTTAGGCTGATAACTCAGAAGATATGCCAGTCTAGAAACACCACCACGCAGGAAGAGTGGTGCAGGACACCTGAATCTCAGGCCCTTCTAGTAGCAGACCCACAGTTGATACCATAAATTGTCACTGTTCTGTGGTTCTGGTGGGAGAGTGAAGGCCAAAGCCAAAGTTGGAAAATAAGGTAAAAAACTATGTAACCAAAGTAAATGTATAGTTACCAATATTCCAATTCCACTCACTGAGAGCTTCTGAACTCCCAAGATAACATTTGATGTCTTGGAGTGCCTGTGGGGAGGGACACTTATGAAGCCATAGAATGACAGGACTTGAAACTCCTGAGGAGCCACAATAGGCCTGATGTGCATCTCAAGGGGACGGGAAGCTGTCAGAGGGCCATGGGGAGTGCTGTGTGTGAGGTTCGGACTGGGCAACAGATTAACTAAAAGAGTGCACTATAGGGCTAAGGACTTAGCTCAGTGGCACCATACTTGTTTCATAAGTGCAAGGTCCTGAGTTTGATTCCCAGTAACAACAACAAAAAAATCACTATAATCCTTGATGATAAGTGGGCAGTTTTCCTTAAGTATAATTTTTGATGGTGTTCAAGTGAAGTCAGAAGTTTTTACTGGTCTGGAGGTTTATACAAGTCGTCAGTTCCTTAGCAGAGACCAACAGACCATTTTTAGAGGGCATATTCTCCCTCTTTTTTTTTTTTCCCCTCTTTTTTTTTTTACTGTGTTTAGTGGCAAAAATCTGGTAGTATTGTTTTGACTTGTGTTTAAGTCTAGGTTTTTGGCATGAACTTTACACATGCTTCGTTTAAAAAAGCAAAACAAACATACCAAATTATTGTATTGAAGGTGAAATTGAGTAATTAGTAACTTTATTTTACATATATCCAAAGAACTCAAGAACACAAAAGCTTCCTCAGAAGTGTGCCTCTTAAGATTATATTCTTTATTAGTAGAAGCAAAATGAGAAATTTGATAGCATTTGCAGGAAATTATACTAGGATATAAGAACAAAACAAAGTTGCAAAACTGTTAAGGAATTTAAGATTTCTGTTTGGAAAGTAAAATTTTTTATAAGTAACTTATAACTATTTGTATACATTATTCTTTCTTTGAATAAGCTACTAAGTAAAAATACAAATCTCCAATCTAATTAACACAATAATGTAGCAATGGAAAACCTATAGACCTAATTTTCAGTGGTTCAAGGTTTAAATAAAAAACCTAATGGGACAGGAGATGATGGCAGGCCTCCTCCAGTGAAATAAAAAAGTGAAAGATATTGATGCAAATGGAAAAATGGTAAACAAGGTGCCAACAGTAAAGAAGGTACACTTACTTGGGTGGTTGTGGAAAAGCACTGATGGAAACTGATGGAAAACATGTCAGACAAACCTGAACCTTTCAATTTAAATCCCAGTTTGAAATACACGTTGGCACAATTCCACTTAAATAGAGCTCTCTGGGTAGACCAGCAGCATTTTGTTCTCAATATTCCCAAGATAGCACGTCACCAACTGTATTGTTGCGTCTTCCAACTTCTCAGGTTTTTTCTGGCCCTCTACTCATCCCCTCTACTAGCTCCACAGAGCTCACCCAGCCTGTTTTGGAAGAGGAGTCTATTTCTTTTTTTCTTTCTTTTTTTTTTTTTAGAAAAAGCTATCTAGTATTTTATTACTTTATTCTACTTTATATAAGGTCATAAAAGGCCATAGCAGTTTTTCAGTATATAAACACTTTAAAAGCAGAGGGCAGTAGGAAGGACAGACAAGTATCAAAATGAAGTCCCTTAATGAGGGCATGCCCACAGTGCAGTATTTCTGAGTATTAACAAGCAGATACCAAGTCATCCACATTTAGTTTGCAGCTATTCCATGGTTTTGGAATACTCTTTGAGATTTCTTCACATCCCAGTTGTGCCAAGCTGTCATTTATTTAAAAACAAAAATTAAAAAATGAAACCAGAATAAAACTATGAACTCAGAGGGCTCCCTTTATAATTCCTGTCATCTGTAGCTCTCCATGAAGGAAAGCCTCAGTTCTTCATCCCCTTCCCCACCTTCCTTCCATCAAGGATAGGACAGAGAAATGGAAGAAAAAGCTCACTATTCCAAATTCTCCTGCTGTTTACAGCTTTCCTTTTCTGTAGGGGTTTCTTCAAAGTATACTTCAGGCCTTCTAATAATTAGCTTCAAATTCCTAAACATAATACTGCAGCATCCTTCAAAAGTAACTAAAAAACACTGGTTTCCACTCTGCGAAATTACAGTCTTTAAAACTATAACTGGTATCAGCAGATCAATATAAAAAGTACAGTACCAAGCTACACTGGTATATTTCCATATTAAGAACTTCAAAATATACTTATCACTGAGACTATAGTCCTTGCATTAGTTCTCAGTCCACTATGAACAACTTATGTGCTATATGTAAACATGTTTAACTAGATAAAATACATCAATTTCATAAGTACATAAATACATAAATTTCTGTAAAAGGTAATAAAATATCTTCTTTAAAAAACAAAACAGGGCCAAGGAATTAGCTCAGTGGTTCCGCCGCCTGCCTCGCAAGCGCAAAGGTACTGAGTTCGAGCCCTGGTACCAAACCAAACCAAACAATAAGCTATTACTGCATTGTTTCCAATTTTATGAAATTGGAACAACCACATGGTTCTTGCCAGTCCTGAATTCATTGTAATAAAAATGGCCCTAGTTCCTGGTTAAAGCTCAGCAACCAATCCTTTCTCTTCAATAGATGTCTTCTAGTACTGTAGGCAAGATTTGTTTTAGGTGGTATTCTGTCCATTAATAAAGTTATATACCAGAAACTGCCCTGTGCCACAGTACTGTGTTGCAAACAGTTTTCTATTAGGAGTGGGATCTGAGAAAGCAATTTCTTCTTTACTCAAATATGAGCCATATATAAAGTTACTTCTCAAGCATTTGATCATGCGAGATGCTATCTTCTGCTGGTGCATCATGCTGAACACCCATATCTGGCTGATCCCACAAATTGCAGGCTCTGGCAGTGTTGAGTAGCACCAAGCTTTTGGCCTGTCAAATCTGACTTTCTTCTTCTGACCTGATAACTGGAGTTTCTCTTCTATGACTCTGTAGCCCCATTGGATATGTTCTGCAATTAAGCAGCCAACTACTTTTTGTCGTTAGAAATTAAGAGAAGTGTTTTCATTCTGGAATAGCACATTAGTGGAGCCTGCTGGAAACCTAAATCATTATCAGCTATATCTCTAATCTCATCAACCTTTTTCAGAGCATACTTTGGGTCTTCAGGAAGAACCATTATTATCCTGCCATCAGGGTATTCAGCCAGAATCCTTTCTTTTTTCCAGCCCACATATTTTACAGCACTTATAAACTGGGGTGTTGGGTTTCATCTTTTGGATTTGAAGCTCTGTAAAGCATTCCACAAACATTATAGGACACTGCTCCAAATCTTTTTTGTCCAGCATCTGTGACTGACTTTTTCATCAGATTTCTCTGCTGCTTTAGTTTCAAATCTTTTGGAATTGTTATCTCCAAATGGGAACTACATTTAAGCCAAGAATGATATTCCCTGTTATCACTGTCCTTAGATGTTTGGTTATTGAGTATACTGTGCTATTTGGGAGCTGAAGCTGAAAATTTGACTTTGTCCTGTGTAAATTTTTGTTTGAGCAGAGTAGAAACAGCAGAGGTGTTTTCTACTAGATTATTTTTCAGCTTGGATTCCAAACATAAGCTGAAATTCTTATCTGGTGTTGAGTCAAAAGGAAGTTTCATCTGATTATCCGGTGGTAGCTCAGGAGAAGGATTTATCAGATTATCCAAATGATAGTTTTCAGGTGCCCTTTTTGTGATTTTTGTAATTTCAGCTCTAACATCATTAATTTTAACTTATTCAGATTTAATTACTTTCATTTTTTCCTCTTGGCAAGTTACATTTTTATCATGTTTTGTCCCTAAAAACATATTTTGAGTCACTGGATGATGTATTTCTAAAACTGGTGGTGAAAACTGGTTCGTAAAAAGTCAAATTTAGGGTGAACTTGAGAGTTCAACTTATTTTGATACAGAGTTAAATTTTGAGAGTTTAATTTTAGTCTAGTTGGATTTCGTAGTTGAGCTGTGTATTCCATTTAGTATACATTTCATGGGCTTTGTTTTTCTACTGGGGAAGAAGCGATTGCATTGCACATCCTGACCTGTTTCCGTCTGATGAGGTATTTGTCTTTCAACATCAGCCTTTTCCAATTTTATTTCTGTGGGTAACTCTTCCTTTACAGTTTCTTTCTTTTTTTTTTTTTGGTACCGGGGATCGAACTCAGGTCCTTGCGCTTGCGCAGCAGGCAGCGAAACCACTCAGCTAAATCCCCGGCTCCTCTTTACACTTTCTATTTGGGAAGATTCTTTTTTTACCTTTACAGTATCTGACTCAATTTCACCAGCAGTTTCTTCACAGAGCTGGAGAATACTACCTCGTTTGCTCTTTCCTGCTTGCTCCAACTTCTCTACACTTTGTTCAGGCACTGAAGGCAGTGGACTTTTT